ATGTCTGTATTCATAAATAAAAGAAAGTAATGCATATTTTTTTAATAACAACTTTTTATAAGTATCAGAGTGACTATTCATTAATTGAGGGTCATCAAAAAAATAAGATCCAGTTTCGTAAAATTTTGTATCGGGGTCTTCTAAATCGTAATAACTAAATGAAATATTTCTAGTTTCTTGTGGACCACAGTCTGCTCTTTCATATCCTATAATATTAAAATTGTAATGTAATACATGTGTAAAATCATCATCAATAGTTGGATCTTCTTCTAATTTTACATCAACTTTAAGATATAAAGTAGAATGATCATACATCATGTCTCTTATTATTTTCATAAGTTTTTCATTACTAAACACTTTTAACTCTTTGTTCATTTGTCTTCCGATGGAAACTTGTGATGCCATTTTTATATAATAATTAGATAAAAAAAAATGAATTTAAGGATTAAAGAATAAAAAGAATAAATAAAGATGGTAAATATTTTAGAAAACATGTTAATAATTGATGGAAAAAAATATTACAAACATAATCTTTTTACTAAATACGCAGCTTCCAAAGATGGTAGCATTATCAATATAAAAACTAAAAGAATAATTAAAATGATAAATTGTAACGGTTATTTATATTTTAATCTTTGCGATCCAAATCTTTCAAAACCAAAATTTTATTACCAACATCGTTTTGTTTATGAAGTTTTCAAAGGTGAAATTCCAAAATTTTTTGAGATTGATCACATTAACAACATTAAAAATGATAACCGAATAAAAAATTTACAATTACTTACTAAGAAAAAAAATAATGAAAAAAGTCATAATAAGGCAATTATTTCTACAAATATTGAAACAGGAGAGGAAAGAAGATTTAATTCTATTACAAAAGCTTCAAATGAATTGCACATACACATTGTTAGTATTTCAAGTATTTGTAGAAATTTGTATAAATCATCAAAATCTAAAAAAGATGGTTGCAAATATACATTTAAGTTTTTAAAATAGTTTCAATATTATTTTAATATTGAAACCAGTATTATACAAAAAATTTATTAAGCAAACCCTATGTAAATACATTCTTTATTTTTAGAGTTTGATTTCCTTTTAGAACAAGAATAACAGATATCTGGTCTTTCTTTTCTTTTGAATAAATTATTACAATCTAAACCATTGTATGTTATATCAGATATTAAATGAAAATTTGTGAAGTCTTCTCCAAGATATTTTTCTAAATATGTATTAAAAAAATATATATTATTTGGAATCAAAGGATCATTATTATAATATTCATAAAATAAATATTCATCTAACATTGTCATATAATAATAAAAAAAATGACATTTATCTATATCTGAAAATCCCCTAAAAATAGGATTCTCAAAATTAACATCAACATCATGATGTTCCATCAATATTTTATTTCCAGTAGGATTACTGTATGCTTTTTTCCAGGGTAAAACATCAACATAATTATAATTATTATGAGGCGTATATTGTAATTTTAAAGTTAATTTAGCACCTTTGGGTATGTCTAAATATTTTAAAATTTTGGGATTAATATCTGTATAAGTTTGATTTCTTAATATCGGAGCATATAAACATTCATTTACTAAGTTATCATTTTTTGTAAAATTATAAGATGAGATACTAATATAAATTGGTGGATTATGATTTGATAAATAATCTTTTATTTTATTATACTTTTCTTTTAAAGAATCAGAAAGATCAACAATATCAAACTCAAAATAACTACAATAAAAATTAAAATCTAATATCTCAGTGGTGTGTTTCAAAAATTCTTGTTTTTCTTTTTCTGAAAAACCCCCAAAAAAAGGATTATCAAAGTTGATGTCGTCTATTTTTTCTATTATATTTCCATTATCGTTGGTGTATGATTTTTCCGGAAAAACGTATAAAGAATCTTTTTGAGTTTTATCACTTTTATCACAAAAACCACTTTCTAAAATTATTTTAAAACCTTTAGGTATAGACATATAATCTGGAAGATAAAAATTAATAAATTCAGAATTGTTTTCCATTTTCATTTATTATATTTATTATTATATTTAACTTCAAATTTATCTGGTTCAGGAGTTTGATCAATTATCATATCATCTATCAACTTCATTCTATCTACAAATTTTTGTTTATCCCAATCATCTCCTCTAAGTACAGCTCTTAGTTCAATAAGAACTTTTTCATAAGTGGTGTATGCAATCCGAGTCATTTCTATTTTTCTCTTGTAATTATTTTTCTTTCCTACTCCAGCAACAATTACTCCAGCTCCATTTATTACTCCGAGAACAACAGGATTAAGTGTAATTCCGCCAGTTATAGTTCCTACAGCAACTAAAAATAGACCAGTTATATTAAAACAATTATCAAGAAATTTATAACTTTTAGAAGACCTCTTAAAACACCAATATTTTTTATGGTAGTAACTGTAAAAATCTTTTAGTGTTTTAACATCTGATTTTGATAGAGATGGGTCTATGTGATTAAATTCAAAGATATCCTTCATTTATTCATAGGTTAAACTATATAACTTCCGTTTAACTTTTCTTGTAGTAATATTTGATGATGTACTAAATTATCAACGTCGTAAAAGTTTGGAGAGTACATAAATTTTTCTATCACTGAATCTTGACATAAAAATTCAAATTCAAGGTTAGCTGAAGATCTTACAATATTAGCAACTAAGTTTGCGGAATAGTTACTTATATTAACTTTTGT